TTCATCTGTGTTGGATATACTTTTACTAGGCTTTGGTGTCATGACTGTTGGATGTTTTGGATTAGGCCCTGTTGTACATGTTGGGGTAATAGAAGAGGATCTTGTTTGAAAATTCTACTTTGATTTCCTTGTTTAGGTGTTGTGGACATAATTGAATAGGAACAGATGCTTGAGGAAAATGACTTGTGGAGATGTAGGTGGTTAATATTGCGCTTCCTGAACAGTGTTAATCCAGCATGAATGGACCCGAGTTATTGCAGAGAATCGTGGTCTTCTAAACTGTTGCACTTTCCCATCTATTCTTCTGCTTGCAGGGCACTCTGGTAGCTGAAAATTGTTCTTTATTGATGTTAACCTACTAAGGAAGAAATATCACCTTCCAGTTGCCTTCGGGTTCTTAATCTAGTTCATCACCAAGTGACTCTTAATCAGAAAGGGCTGGGAGAGTAGGAAAAGACAGGACGACGTTCCTCTGCAGCTCCCACTTGTTCCAGACGATAAAGTATGCATGGAATTAGACTGGAACAGACAGTTTGACCCTGAAGGGCACAGCTAGAGTTTCCAGTATCACTTAGATGTTTGTGTTCAAGTGCTTTTTTAGGCAAGTGTATCCTTTGGGACATTCAGACCTCAGTGTTTTATTGTTTATTTGTAGTATTTTTTTTTAAGATGTTTGTTCCCTTTCCAGTAGTGAGTAATTGGAGAACTAGCTGAGATCTTGTTAAAATGCTCTAACACAAAACAGAGTGAGATTCCCTAGCAGTGACAGTTAACTCGCATTTATTTCAGTGTAGGGTGCTGTGCAGTGATGCAGTGACTGTCTTAGGGGGGTGCCTGCAGGGGCTGTGCTGTGCCTGCTGAATGTCTTTCACCCTCAACTTGTTGACTTCAGTTATGTCTCTAAAATGAAAGAATTGTTCTTGTTTCACGCAAGTGTAATAAAAAAGAATACTCGAAGACTTCAGTAAGGAAGCTGTATGTAAGATAAATATGATTTAGTCCTGTGCTTCAGTGTTGAGCAATGCTTTCCATAACTCATGCAAAACCAATACGCTTATGTATTGGTTTTTTTTCTTCCTGTGGTTGGAGTAATAAAGATTATGCAAGTTAGACTGTGACCCAGTTAATTCATTTACCAGACTTCCATTTTGTCTTCAAAAGAAAAAGAATATTTAATCAAAATTGCAATATGAAGACAACTGGTAACCTGTAAATATTTCACTTTCAAACTCCTATATCACTGGCAGCTGTTTACTATCGGCGTTGTTGAGACTTACTGAGAATTTTAAATAGTTAGAAGAGATAAAGTTAAGATTGTATTTTGGGATTTAGAGCTCCATAGGAGTAAGAAGGCAGCTTTTCATAAGTGAATACAGAAGAATTGGTGTTCTCCAAATAGTTTCTGATAGCATTGTTAGAATGCATTACAAGTTCAGTACTTTGTTTACTAAAAGGCATTGTCATGTGTTGTTACTATACTGCCAGCATCTTTAACCTATGAAGTTGGTCGATAAACATCCTTTTTTGCTATAAACATCCTCTTGACCATCTGCCAACTATGGCCTGAGAGAAAGGAGGAGAAAGGTAGAACCTTTTACTTAAGAGCTTCTTTTAAGGCATATATCCCATTATGTATGTGTTTTGCGGAGAAACAGATGGCTTGAGAAATCAACTTACCAAAAAAAAAAATTCCTTTGTGCCTTCTGCAGCATGCTATTTGTCCTATGAATATAAACATGTTAAAAATATTAGTTGTAGTTAAATTGTTTGAAGGCTTTAGGTTGTATTTCTCAAATCTGAAGTTATATTTGTAAACTTTCTGTAGTCCACAACATTTTATAGCAAACAGCCTACTCAGGCAGTTATATCAAGACATTCTGTCATTCTCCCATTTCTTCCTTTATATTTCCAGCTCTAGACACAATTGCTGGAAAATAAGTGAATATGAGCCATAATTTTATTTGGCGGAAAATTAAGTGTAAACTTAGCACTCGCATATCTGTAGACGTTCTCTAAGAGGAGCGTTCCTATGCCGTTCTATTAGTAGTTATCCCTATTTTTTGTTCATTATTACATATCCCTCTGCTGGCACATGTTTTGCTGGGGTTGACAAAGATGGAGATGGCCTGTGGCTTGTTGTGGTGGGAATGGCACCTGGGCCTCACAGGTGTCTCTGGTGCTTCCTTGTCTGCTTCTCATCAGGAAGGAAAGTTTCAAGAGGATCTTTTCAGGACTGGTGTTTAGTGTTGGCATCACTTCTCTGATGGGCGTTTTTGTTGTTACTTTTATTTTGATGGGGTGTTTTTTGTTAGTAACACTGATGTTGATCACTTACCTTTAATGTATGTAGTTACAGCTGTGTCTTTTTCCTGAAGTGATAGTTTCTTGTGGGTATTGGTTGTTTTCGTCTCATGACTGTGCCTACTCAGTGAAGGTTGATTGGCAAGATGATAAGGTTTGTTTTCTGTAACTTGTGTAATGTAAAATGGTGTGACGTGAGTGAGTACCTATGGGGCTGTGCTCTCCTGGTTGTGGTGTTTTGCAGGCTCATTGAGTGGGGCTTGCTGCATGTATGGCGGATGAAGGTGAGCATTTCCTTCCTGAGATGTGTGCTGGTGAGGGGCAGGCGGGTTTTCAGGAGAGGCCAGTACTACCAAGGTTTTTCCACATGTTTAGTTTAGATATGAGGGAAAGAAGCCTTGTGTTTCACTATGCTATCTGTGCTGGACTCTCCCCAAATAGGGCAGTGCTGTTTTCTTAACACTTTTGTGCTGTGCCACTGTGGTGGTTGAGACCCTGCTGATGGGGAAGCCCTTTTAGATCAGTATAGTTCAAAGTATATTACCCTCTGAAACATCATAGACGTATCTTTAGGCTTGAAGCTGTTCTCTTGGCAACAAAAAGCTTCCTGTTTTTTCACTGAATCAAAACTACAACATGTATTTATTCTGTACCTGAAGACTGAAGTGATACTTGGGATGGGCCTCTGTTCTGAATTTCAAATGCATTTCAGTGGAATATACTGGTAATGTTATATTTGCAGTGTTTGAAAATGGGCACCAAACTATTCTTGTATGTAATTGCTGGAGAACCATTTCTGACCTGGCTGAAAACTAGCTTAGCAGAGCAGTTTCACTTATGAATTATGAGAATACATGCCACAGGTCAGAGTATGATACGTTAACAGAGTGCATCAGACCGGGCTTACTTGATTTGTCTCCCATCTCTGGGATGTGAGGAGTGCAGAAGCCCGTCTTCAGTTCCTGTTGCATCAGTCACCCTAAAAAGGGAAACCGCAATATGCGGTAATTAGATCTGTGGTGTTTCTTTCAAATGCTTCTGCTGAATCTCTTAGACTAAGTCAAACTAAATCATAACCTGACTTTAGAGTGTATTGGTAAGTTTTGAGCTTGCTCGTGCCTTACAAAATTAGTGTCTTAGTTAAGTTCTGGTATTTTTTCCCCTCAAAATTGATGAATAACTGGGTGAGGTATAGAAATAATTGTCAGGGGTAACTACTTAAGCCCAGGGGATGGGATTTTTCATTTGTGTGTCTCAGAGCTCAGCCCTTTGTCTTGGCAGTTGCCTTTTTAGTAGTCTTGGAGCAGATCTGTGTTTTCCTACCAGAATTGAGAATGTTGCTTCCAGGAAGCTCAGGATGTGGTGGTGTGGCCATGCCAGTCTGGCATGAGTCTGTGGAGTCCCTGGGCGGGTTCATCTTGCTTCCATCATCCCCTCTGTTTGGTTTGCTGCTCCTTTCTGCCTCTGGGATGTTGTTCTGTACCCATTTGCAGTGGACTGGGACCAGAAGTTGATCCTGCTGAAACTCAGCACTTGTGAAGGCAGGGGCACGAGAGCCCCCCCACCAGCACACACGTGCTTTTATAATGGATCAAGTGCTTAGGAGGTTTCAGAAATCACTTGCCACTTTTGGTACATCTGTTTGTTTTTTTTTTTAATAAGCAGAATTTATTTAAGTTCTGCTTGTGCCCCATGTTCCTGCTCTAAGTTGTTTGAATTCTACATAATTCATTACTGATGTTTTCTTTCTCATGCTCTTCCTAATCCTGTCTGAAGATTACCACTGTGCAGTTACAACAGCACTGTCGTGTTGTTAGATTATATGAAAGCCTTTAAGACCTGTCCTAGCTTCTTCGTGGATGTTACCTGTGGAGATGAAGGATCATGTAATAGCCCTAAAGATTTTCAAAATAGACGTTTATCTACATGGAAAGAAAAATCTGCTGCTGGTTAATTCAGTACAGCTGAGAGAATCTTTTCTGAAAATGTTTTCTTATTTCGTAAAGTTGAAACTGTTCTCAAGACAATAAGTATAAAAACTAATCTTAAAATTGTTCAAGAAATGTATTTAAAGCTTGAAGGGTTTCACAGTAGGTGCACAGATAAGCTTTTGTAGATAGGAGTAATATGGACAGTATCTCAGAATGATAACTTGTTACCAGGACTGCTTGTTTTGTTCAGTGTAAGAGAACAGGCAGTTTTTTTCAGACATGTACTGGTGTCTGTAAATATTCAAAGATGCCATGACACGTGCAGTCCATAATTTCTACCTTGTAGTGCTGCTTACTAGCTCTTTTGTTAGGATAGCTCAGTGAGCTCTGCAAATTCCAGTTCGACAAGTAGATAACCTTGCTGTTTTGTTGTTACTTTAGTTTTCCTCATAATTTATTTTCCTATATTAAAATTTTCCTTATCTCAGTTTCCTTCATCATATGGCAGTTTCTTCAGAAACAAGGGTGTCTGGATTTTGATATGTTCATTTAAAATCATGAACTGTTGGGTAGTGCGTCTTCCTTTGTATTCAATGCTGTTAACTCAGAAGGGTTTCAAAGAGCAGCATTTATGGGGAACCAAATCTGCCTGCTATTTTAGCCCCCTCTCCCTTGTCTAAAATAGTAGCAACCCCCCCAGTTTGTTTTATACCCTCACTTAGATTCAGCCTTAGATCTTGTACTTACTGATCTACCTTCTGTTCACAGTGCTTTTAAAAATGCTGTGTCCAGGGACGGGTTCTGCGTCAAGATGGTGTGTGTCAAAGCACAAAGTCCAGTAACTGCTCCAGGTAATAGCTTTGGCAGAGACCCTTTTTCAGAAGACTCTTTAATCTTCATGAAATTTATTACAGACTCCAGAAATTAATTCAAAATACCCAAAGTATATCTATTGGAAGTAGGCCTAATTTCTTGGTGCTATGTGTATGAGAAGAGCAGGAGAAGTACATGTTTCTGAATGACTGGTCCTATATGATTATTAACAAGTGAATCTCATATTGAAGTCCAGACATTCAAAATTGCTTTGTTTTTAATGAAAGAAGTAAAGGCATGGACAAGTTTCTCACCTGTAGCCAATCAGACTGGGCACAAAGGTTCTGTAATGGCGAGACCACCTTAAGAATAGTAAACAAGTAGTTATTTAGTATGAGGGCTACTCTGAAAGTAATGCCTCCTATTTTATTATATTGGACAAGGTGTTATTATGCTCTGTTATTAGTCCTGGGTTCATAGGTACTTTAATACATTTCTTTTTTAGTTTAGATTTATTAAAAGTAATAAGTACAGAATATTATGTAACTCTCTTCCCTTTTTTCTCATGGATAAATGAGCACTGAGTTTTCTGAACGTTACATCTCGCTTTATTTGTGAAACTGCTGACTCTTTGGGATGGATGAGAATCGACTCCAAAAGTTGGTGTGAGTTCAGATAAAAATCTAACATTGAAGAGGCTTGGTATGCAGTTTGAGAAAAATCATACTAACATTGTATTCCCTTTATTGTGTGTAATTTTGTTAATATTCATGCAGATGCAGTAGCTGGTTCTGCTGCAACTCAAATATTTTCTCATTTGAAATTAATATAAAACACGGTTTGTTTTTCCTTCATCCTCTGTACTGAGATGCATCATATTGCACTGTGTTTTAGGCTCAGGATCTTCATGGACTGTAATTATTTGGCCCCTGTGAGCAAAATATTTTCATTAAGGGGAAAACATCAGAACAGAAAAGAAAAATTGCTTGTTTGAATTATATAGAGCTCTTAGATATATGGTCAAATTGCTGTTTTCAGTAAATTCTTTACAAAACTTCATGTAAGCCTTAGTAATGCTAAGCAGGCCTAGATTTTTGAATTACACAACTAAGGGCATGACTGTGAAATTTTTGTTTACAGAACAGTTTATCTTGAAATGCAGATAGATGAGCTATCTGCTGAGAAGAGTACAAAATAGTTTGTAATTTTCTTGACAAAACATGCAAAGAACCCTCTTTGGTTTTTATCTTAACCTGGCAAAGAACTAACTTTCTGCAAAGAAAAAATGATTTTTAAAAAGGCAGTATTGGATGGCAACAAATAAGAATGGCTACTTCTTTCAGAAGACATATGATGAAGTGGGCCCTGCATTTGTTGTTGGTTTCCTCCTTTTCAAACTTAAGTATTTGCATTACTTTAGAATGCTAACTCTTGTCACTGACAACTTGTTTTCACAATTGTTCTATGAATACCTCGATGTTTTAACTCAATTGGTTCCATCACAAGACAAAAGTATTAGCTCACAGATGAGAAGCTTTTCAAGCCAGTGGTACCTTCTTGTACAGGTACTAATGAGAGGTACAATTATATTAAAGGTCAATGAAAAGCCTTTTATGTACTATTATGGTCATGTGCTGTGTAGCTAGAAAAATCAGCTTCTGAAAGCATAGCCCATGGTGACTGTGAATAATCAGGATAGGTTATGGCTTACAGCATTAGGATGATGTGAAACAAGAAGAAGCCTTTTCAAATAAAATGAAAAAAGGAAATTTTGTTCTACAGTACATTTTGAGAAAAACGCTAGGAATTACAATAATTGACTCCTGTTGACAGAGCAGTAAAGTGGTTAATGAATTAAATGCAATGTTACTAATTTTGATTTATGCTTTATAATTATGATGTTTAAACCTGTTTTAGACTATAAATCTGTATTGATTTCCTTTCTTGCTTTGGTGAAATGTAATAAAAACAAAAAACAAACAACACAAAATGAGAACTCGGAACTACAGCTTCCCAAATGTACCAACTTGGGATGAATCTCCGTTCATTAAAAAAATTGAATCTATTTCTGTACTGCTATTTTACAAAAAGTAAATGAGAGACTAAAAAGGTTTTACTTGCTCAGCTTTCGTCATTGGCAATATCACTGTAAAAAATTTCCTAAAGATTCAGAAAAGCAAAAGGTAAATATCCTCTGCATTTCAATGTTTTGGCTGTGGGAGTCCTCCTGTCGAGTTTTCTTCATTCTTAATAGGCTTGTTCTTGATGGAAATCTTAGCACCTGAAGGTAGAAGGCAACCTTTCACATTGCCTCGAACTGTTTTGTAGAATGCTTTGCTGAGGCTTTGCTTCCCCTCCTTTCTGCAACCTCCCAAAAAACTGAAACATTTTACCTGAAAAATAAAATTGTGGAAGAATGCAAGATACCAGATTATTCTGGCAGTAAGCCTCAAAGCAAATGTTCTTTAGCTTGACAAGCTAAGCATGAAAGTATATGCCTTATTAGGATGCAAATTATGTGTATATGACTCATTTGTTGTGTAATGTTGTCATGCTTTTTTTTTTGCTTCATCAGAATCATATATGTATTACTATATAGAGAGACTCTAGTAAATGACTCTGTATTTCACTGTTCAAGAGGATGAAGGTCAAGGTGACTGTAATTTTGAAGTTTAGTAGCAGTCTTATATACCTTCTTTTATAACAGATGACTCCAATTTTTGCCAAATTGAGGGATTTTACTTCTTACTACTTCATACATCCCATTATTTGTTCAAAGTTGTTTCTCCATTGCCTTATTTCTTCTCTTTCATAGTTGGTTTCAGATTGTCTCTTTCTCCTGAGGTTCTAATGCTGATGAATTTAACACTGCTATTGATACTGCTATTAACTTTTCTTGGGAAATGAATGGTCTTGGAGAGTGCTTAGGAAGTGGAGGAGATGATTTTTAATGATTCTAATTCTTATTGTTTCTAAAATTTAATTTGAGAGCTGAAACACTCTCCTTCTGCTTGTTTTCTGTGTGTGTGGTGTGTTTTTATCTTTAAGGCTTTAGATGTAATTTCAATACATTCTAATGTTATTAATTATGAAAGGCTTGTGGAGCTTTGAACTGTTATTAAGCAGGTGAATTTCTGCTCTGAAAACAGCTTTTGTGGGAGGTTGCAGAAAGGAGGGGAAGCAAAGCCATTCTTGTTTGAGAAGTAGGATTCTGGAATCAGGGAGGAGATGAAGCCACAAGGATTCCTCTGCGCTTGTGGTGCTGGTATTGACATCTGGAAAGTAGAAAACAATCTAATGAATGCTATTCAAGTAACACTTTTTAATTCTTTCTATGGTGATGTAAGAAAATGGCCTTTTTCTGTAGAACCAAGTTCGTTCTTCCCTCCCCCTATGTACGCCTACATCAATGTTTTTTTCAGTTCTGCAAGTGTGTTTTTTCTCACTCTCCCTCTGGTGTGTAGGCGGCCTTCCCAATCACAACTGAACTTCACAGGCAATCTTTTTTTTTCTTTTTTCTTTTTTTAAAGTCATCTTTACACAGCAGGTCTATAATTTAACACCAAAGAAAAAGAGAATTGAGAGCTCTGGTTTAGAATTATGATGTGTCTCAGTAATGGTTGAATAGAATTTCACCTTGAAGAAAACAGGGAACGTTTTTCTTGACCAGAAGGCCACAACCTGTGGAAATTTACTCACCTGCTGCCAAAATGAGTTGTCAAACTATCAGAAGTGCAATCACAGGCAAACTTTAAACACTTCGCTTGTATCATTAGACTGAGTTGGGATTGAGCGTTTCTACCTCCAGATTAGAATGTGAATCTACTTGCAAGAGACAGGCTTGGTTTGTTGGTCAGTGAAAATTTAAAAGTAATTCTTCTCTGCCTGTTACTTTTAAAAATGAGTTCCATTTACAATTGAGATTATGCTATAATTACTTCCACAAGCCTGATAGCGCTGCCTGGCACATCTTAAAGAGTTTTGGACTACACTAATGTTCTTGCTATGAGTATTCAAACTTTACTCAACTCTTGAAATACTGTTGGGAGGGTAAGAATTGGTGGGTGACTTTCATTTGTTTCAGCAACCTGACATTTTGAAGATCACTGTAATGGAAGAACTAATGCTTGTGCCAAGGTTATACGTGCAGCTGAAGCTGGCGTTGCAGCTGACAGTAGCTGTCCTCGGCTTGGTCTGTCCCATGCTGTCTCTACTTTACATCAGTGCAAGTGCTAATGTGGTCTTGCAGTGAGCTGCAATTTTGGGAAACCAGATTGGAGAAATGATCTAGGCCTTCTTCAGGCTCCTTATTTAGAGTGAGGTTTTAATTCTCCTCTGACATGATTCACTGAGCATCTCCACTAACATATGAGTGTGGTGAGAGCTGAGGATGACAACATTCAGCGGCAGTTTGTGATCCAGCTCCTGCTTGTTCCTCCGTGGAGTTCCTGGGACTGCAGCATCAATCTCCATGGTTACATCTGTTCACTCAGTCTAAATATAGAGGGCTCCCTGCATCTACGGATGCAAATTTTTTTTGTAGCAATAGACAGAGATCAGATGGTAAGTGAAATGCTGAAACAGTACAGGCTTTATTACAGGGCAATGTAAATAGGAAGGACTGATTTGGAAACTTTTCTTGCTGCTCTTTGGACTTCTTAAAAGTCTGCAGTTGGTGACTTAGATAAATTTGCTCCTGCTGTCCATTGTCTTGGCATGTGTGATTAGCTTTGTGCTGAATAGTGAGGGAAAGTGGGCCACAGCGCTCAGAAGTATCCTGGTTTTTTAGGTGTAACCAAATGTTTGCTTAATCACCAAATGTCTGGCAGAATGTGTACCAAGAGAAAATCACTTGATTCAGAGAAAGGGTGATAAAAGAAGGTTGGGATTGTTAAAGTGAGAAACTTCTCACTTAAGCTCGCTGAGAAGAGAGAATCTTAGCTGCAGAAATTGAAGTTTATGGTTTTACAAATCTTTGTGGCTCCTTCTGGCTTCTGATATTTCCCAAATATCCCTTTACCTTTTGAGAAAGATTTCA